CTGCTGATTCCAGAGTGTTAACTGAGATTTTAAGAAATCCAGATGACCCATTCGTGGCGCCACTCCCACCAAAATATTACGTTGTGGATTCCGGTTACAGCAACACGCAAGGCTTTTTGGCACCATTTCGTGGTCAGAGGTACCATATTCAACAGTTTAGAAACGGTGGCCAACCAACGGGACCACAAGAGTTATTCAATTATTATCACTCCTCACTGCGTAATTGCATAGAGAGGTGCTTTGGGGTCTTGAAAGCAAGGTTTAAAATTCTTAAGCATATGACAAATTATTGGATGCCAAGACAAAATAGTATACCAATAGCTTGTTGTGTGATCCACAATTTAATTAAGTTGCACGCGCGAGATGATCCCCTATTTAGACAATATGAGGTCGATTTGCCCGTAGAAGATATTGAGGGAGAGAGAGAACACGAAGGGCAACAGGAACAACAACATGGTATGGATGCACAAGAAGCAGAAACATCTGAAATGGATGGTCGGCAACAACGTAATTACATGGTTGATTTTAGGGATCATCTAGCTAATCAAATGTGGGATTCGTATAGGCGACAATAATTTAAACTAATATATTGTAATTTTCATATTTTATTAATTATTTTATTAATTATTAGTGTTTTTATTTAGGATTCAATTATTATTTATTTAATATATTAAATACCTATTACATGTTTTCAAAAATGAAACCAAACACATTTTCAGTTTTTTTTTAAACTAAAATCAATATCTAAATAAAACTAACAAACGCATTTTCAAAAATAATTCAAAAATGAAAATAAAAACGTTTTCATTTTCATTTTCGTACAGAAAACAAAAACGTTTTGGAACCAATTCCAAACGCACCCTAAAAATCATTGTGACCCATTAAACTCTTAATTCCAAATACTTATTAAAAAGTCACAGAAAACAAAAACGTTTTGGAACCAATTCCAAACGCACCCTAAAAATCACTGTGACCCATTAAGCTCTTAATTCCAAGTACTTATTAAAAAGTCGCAATTTTTACTTATCTTCTTTTACTAAATAAAAGCAAAAACAAAAACTTTAAAAAACAAGCCCTAAGATAGGTTTAAAAGGGATATGAGTTACTCCTCCTAATAAGGTAATTTTTTAAAATAGAACCCACAGACGTAACACTTTAGATGAATGGAAAGATTAATTTTAAGACAACATGATAGATGAGAAATCGTTTTGTGATGTTTTAAAAATCAAGAATTATTATCACCAATGACCCCTGAACTTTAGGGAACTTTAGGGTCACTGATTGAGCTCTAAATGTTCCGTATTTCCAAGTATTTTCTATGCCAAATGCCAAGTAGCCGAGACAAGGCTCTTGTTTCATCTGTTGGGTAAAAATCCATCAAAAATATAAGAGAGACGTGGTATTAGTACATTAAGAAATAAGAATCATGCCTTAAACCGTATGCACTTGTGTAAATCAAATACCATATAGATGATTGGAATCACATTCACAGCAATCATAAAACCAACATCATCTTTCAACTTAATGTTGGACAAAATTCCTCCTAGTTTTGTCCATGTTTAATGTCTAAAAATGATTAGAAACTGCATTACTTTCTACACTAAGCGTCAAATAACGGGCTCCTTCACGTCGGAAGTAGAATGGCTGATGGAATTTCTCACACGGCTGCTGCAGCACTGCCAGTATATTCCCAATCCAGATTTGCTTATATTGCCTGGAATTCGAATTATCACCAAAACAATAAGTCCAACATGAATGCAACGAAAGGAACGCACAATGCTTCCAAGTGAAAGATAAAAACACAGATGGCCACGAGTGCAACAGTTTGACGAGCCAAATTTTCATGTATATGCCAATGAGCGTCAGAAAATCAAAGAGTACCGCCCATCAAGATGTTATGATTTCTAAATAAAACGTATCGCAAGCCTCTGAGATAATTTATCATCTCAACACTAATCTTATCTCAACAATATATTGCATTCGTTGTTATAGAAAGCGAAACATCTTCGGTGTTTATCAGAGTTGTAAGGTGGTATGATATATGAATCATAATTATATCAATATAAACCACCAAAATAATTTCCAGATTACATACTTTATACTTCACAAAGCACAGGCTATATAGTTTAACTAATGCTTAAGCATTTAGTTATAATTCTCTACTTTGTACATTTAATTTGGACCCTAAAAGAATTTATTCATTATATGTAGTCCCAAAAGTTCGTCATTGCCCCCAAGGGTTCCCAAAGATACAATTAAGCGGACAGAAAACAGAAGAATGATGATTGCCACTTCGTGGACTCCCAGTTCTGTTCATAAGGGCCTAACAGTCCCACAAACATTGATACTCAAAGAAAGCAGCATGAAACACAAAACTAAATTGCAGTGCTTTGATAACTAAATTGTACTTACCACTTTAACCAATCTACTGACTAGATTCAGGAGCCTGCATATTAACATTGAAACTATCAAAGCCCCCACTTGTCGGTGCCACTGGATTGGCTTGATAAATTGCTGTGGGTGCGGTCATCAAGGGTCCTCCATTCAAAGGAGTGGGTGTAGCCAAGCTGCCAGGAATTGTAGTGGGGACACTTAAAGTGGGAGGCCTCTGTGGAACATTTACTTGACCAGATATGGAAGGAGCACCAGGAGGAGCCACCATCAATGGCATCGTTGGAGGACCGTATCCTGTCAACAAGAAGAAAAATATTTACATATCACTAACGTATCTACATAGTTACACACAAGAACTTACATATATCATATGTGAACATAGAATGCATTACGTCCAAAAACATATGTAAGTATATGTGAATAATAAACATTTTAAGGCCATTGGTATATGCACAAAATATGGTGGTCAGTAGAACGAAAACATCAAAAGTGGAGAGGCTCGGACTGGTTCTGTTTGGATTGAGATAGTTTTCATTGACGATACTATAAGAGCATAAATTACTTGTGAAAAAATATACCACTTTCTGAGAGGGGCATGCACTTATTCTTGCAAAAATCTGAAGTTAGAGGGATTGCAATTGGAGCAACCACGTTATATGTTTCAACAAGAATTCAATTGCAACAAAATTAAAAAATAAAAAATAAAAAATAAAAAACAAAAAGAAGAAGAAGGAAGAAGCACGGTTAAACAAGCACAAAAGATTTGGCAAACGACACATGCATTAAGTAAAGCACTGCAATAAGAAGTAACAAAAATTTCTAGATATTATAGCAACCTGGAGCACCAGGAACAGGTCTTGGCAAAACAGGAGGTCTAATTCCTGGGATCAAAGGTGCGCCTCCAGGAACCTGTGGCATAATGGGTGTCGGAAGAACTGGAAGACGGGGCCTCTGAACAAGTAGATGTTGATTGTAAGCCGCACCAACGTGATGATAAGCAGCAGCAGCTTGCCCAAGATGCTCCTTAATTCTCTGGTCAATCAAACTCTGAGTTTGTTGCTCCTCAAACTGCTGATAGTACGTCCGCACGTTCGCCTAAAGACCATCGACATAAACAACAACAACAACAACAACAGGTCACAGTTAAATCCAAGGCAAATGGCTAATGTCACATACTTAAAAGGAAAATCAAATACCTTGTGTTTGTAGCCAGCATTATGTTGTTTTCTCACAGACGGCTGAAACATACAAAACCCAGCATTTATGTTGTCAGCATCATATAACATTCATCTTCATTATATCATACTTCATACCCAAAAAATGTAGGTAGGTAACAACAAGTGTTTTGAGAGAAAAAATAAAAAAATAAAAACATTAAGGAAAAGAAGATATCATACCGAATCGTGGGTCAAATAAGTGTCACAGTAGTCACAGTAATAGCTGCGAATTCAAGAAAAGAGATGAATTAATTCATATATAAATAGATAGGCAAATGAAGATGGTGACATAAAAAATCAAATTTTGGATGCTTACCGAGGCATTGCCGTGCGTTGCAACCGAAACTCGAGAAGAAGAAGAAGAAACCACCCTGCAAATTGATAGAAAAAAGTAAATAGAGACTACAAGGGAGAAGCAAGAGTTTAGAGTATTAAGTAATTATCATCAAGTAAGAACATTATCTATCTAGGGAATGTTTTGAATGGATTGGAAAAGAGAAGCTACATATTGACATTGGAAAAAAAGAAACAAAAATAATAAAAAAAAGGCAGAAATAATATGATGAACAAATCAGGATCCAAATATAAACAATCTAAAATACGTCATGCATTATTCGGAACTTGATGGAAGTAATTCACCGACCATCATAAGACCACCGAAAAGAGAAACAAAAGAACTTTGCGAATGGTAATGCCCAATCACCAAATACATGGGAAAAATCAGAAAGACAAACCAACGAGATTATTAGGTTACAGACAAATCGAAATTGAGAATGGCGGAAATCCACAACGTCGAAACAGAGGAAAACGAACAAATTGAAGAAAAGGAAACCAACCAGAGAGAGAGAGAGAGAGGTCTTCAAATGGCGGAACACTGGGAGAGTGGCCGAAGAAGTTGAAGAGAGAGAGAGTTAGGGTTGGGGTTGGGGTTTTCAGACAGAACTGGGAGTAATTGATTATTGAATGGCAAAACAAATAAAAATCTCAAAGTGAAATTGAAGACCCTGTCTTCACTGAAAGTCGGCTAAAACCTTTTTTTTTCATTTAAATATATAGGCTTTATTTATTTCGAGTTTTATTAGAGTAAAAAAATTTTAAAAATAATCACATTTAATTTTTTATTACAGTAAAAAATTTTAACATAAAATCACATATTAATTTAAATCAACAAATTAAATAGACTCATAATATGTTTGCACTTGCTTGTTACTTGTTACATTATAATCAATAAATTAATAACCTCAATTAAATAATATTTATACCGATTCTAATTTAAATCAACGTCTTATTTTATAATTTGATTAAATAATATCTTAATTAGTTGATAAATTCTTAGTCTTTAATATCAATTTATAAAGCTTAACTTTATTTTATAAATGATCATATTTTATATTATTTAAAAGAAAATAGTCTAATTGTCAATGTCTTAAGAATTTAAGAATCAATTTGTTAAATTAAAAGAAAAATGACCAAAATATCACATATTAAAGAGTTAAGGGGCAAATGGTACAAATTACTTCAATTTTTTGAAGTTTATGAAAAAATAAAGAAAAAAGGGGACATTGCAATGAGCACAAAAACGACATCAAACTACAAACAACAAATTGAAACGACAACCTTTAAAAAAGCAGGAAAGAAAAAATGAAAATGGTCTGGGAGAGGCGTTTGGCATTGCGTTTTTTGAAAAACAGAAAAATGAAAACGTTTTTGGAGGGTTTTCAAAAACTGAGTAAAACTGAAAATGATTCACAGTCATTTTCATTTTCATTTTCCCCATCTCATTTTCATTTCCTACTCACTCTTCCCCCGAGTCCACCCCCAACTCAGTTAAAAAAATTAGACAATCTCTGCACAGAAAACTCAGAGAGAGAGAAAGAGGAGAGAGAGAGAGAGAATATCTCTCTAATTGATAAAAACCTCCCACAACCTATCAAATCTAAACAAAATCCAACACAAATTACACAATCTCACTTCTCTTTCTTTCTTTTTTTCTTTTTCTTTCTCGCCAACCAAATAGACCAAAAAGTGATGGAGATCCCGAAGAAGCTGATCAAGTTCAAGATTCACATCCTCCTCGCCCTTCTCCTCTGCGTCGCTGTTTCGGTTCTGATCCTCGTCGCTCCGAGAGTCCTCACCATTTTGGCCTACTTTTGGCCTCTCCTCGTCTCCACCGCGCTCTTCCTCGCTGCCCTCCTCGTCTTCGGCAAGACCACCGCCGCATCTCTGCCCGTCGCCGACAAAGCCGGCGAAGGCCTCCTCGATTTTGTCGCCAGCCAACCGGACCACCACCACGGCCATCATCATCATCCGGTCGAGGGTTTCAAGGTTGAAGAAGAAGATTCAGTCTCACATGGTGAACACAGAGTGGAAAGTTCCAACTCCAAGTCCGAGTAGTGAGAGAAAATTAAAAAAAAAAAATTAACTTCTTCAGTTTTAATTTTTTAACTGAATATATTATTATTTAAAATATAATTACATGTTTTTAAAAATTAAGTCATTAAATTCAATTTCAATTTTATTTTAAATTAAAAATAATCTCAAAATAAAATTATTAAACACATTTTTAAAAATAATTTTAAAATAAAAATAAAGACGTTTTCATTTTTATTTTCATATAAAAAATAAAAACGTTTTAAAACGAATTTTAAACGCACAGGAAACAATTTAACACGAACGTCTAAAAATAAAATATAGAAAAAACGACATGGACATATGATGATATCAACTAGAAAACCACACAAACCTAAAAACGACAATTTAAAAAACTACATGAACATAAAAATGCCACTGCTACAAACAGCTCGAACAAGAAAACGACTTTAAATATAAACGACAATATTCTCCAAATTTATTTCCAAAGCTTAGCAATTTAGAATTTTTGATTAAAAAAAAAAGCTAATTAGAAACCCTAACTTCTAATTACCTTTGCACACACGATCATTTCCTATTTCAGTTAATTCTCTCTAGTAAAAAGGAAAAAAAATTTCCAATCCAAACACTCAAAATGTAACCGTAAGGTTGGTGTTTAGAGATTAAGGTGCGTTTGGAATTATTTTTTAGTCATTTTTAAAAATATTTTTGCACCTCTTTCTAGGTACCTAAACGAAAACGGTTTACAAACCGCGTTTGTTTAGCAAATATTTTGAAAACGAAAATAAAAAATAATGAGAATAATTTTTATAAAAAAAGTATAAAACGATTTAAAGTTATTTTCTCTTTTTCATTTTTATTTTCTAGTACTTATCAACATTGTGATATTAAATAATTAATAATTAATTACTAATTATATAATATATTAATAAATAATTAATAAATAGTTTATATTAATAAATGTCTTCATCCGCATTTATCTTGCAATTCCGAAATAATAAACAATAGCAACTGTTGTGTGAGAAAACGTGGATGATGCGTAGAAGAACAGTAGTGTGACATGTGGCATTGCTTTTCCTCAAAAGGCAGCAACCCTCGACGCTGGGGACTCCCTTTCCTTCTGCTGCAAAGGAAGCCCAACTTAGGACTCCGACTCATCATAACGACGACAGGTCATACCGTCGACCTTACGACGGAAATCCTTCGGGAGAAAATCAATTGCCAAGAAAGACAACTAGCCTGAGCAAACAGAGACGGCGAGAGGAATGCCCCAAAAGGGGGAAGCCTGACATCGCAAGTTGCGTACAGAAATGGGGGATGTCTGCAGTGCAGGCATTAATTGCCAACCCTTAAACCACCATACGGGGGACAGAAAATGGTTACAGGTACGCACATAGCCGTAATAGGAAACTAATTGGCTGAGTGAAGAGTTCGCAAAGTGATTAGTGGGCTACGGTCTGGGCCTAGAAAGGCAGACCACTTGAGTGCTTCTGCCTACAAAAGAGACCCACCCAACGAAGGAAGCTCGGCTATAAAAGGGGCGAAGCCCCATACAGGAAGGAGGTTGGCTTCCTGAGAGAGAAATAACGAGAGAACAACAATTGATGTAAATTGTAACAATCTCAAAAGAAATATAAAACTACAGTGGATGTAGCTCTTCATTAACAGAATGAACCACTATAAATTTTGTGTGTTCTTCTACTTCAAGTATTTCTTCTCATATTGATCACCATTTTAAAAATACAACAAACACTTCATTACATGTATTGAGTATACAATCAATATCAAGCCGGTAATCTAACATGATATCTAGAAGTGACCGACCTATTTCTGTTGATTAGTTTTCAGCGTCAACAGCAACAATTTCAAAAAATGAGCAAGATCTGAAAGCATCTTCATATAAACTTTCATCCAAATCAACTAACCCAGAAAATCATATATTTATACACTAGGAACTATTTATGTTGAAATCTTTTAAACAAGAAGCAACACGATAGTAAAATAATAATAATAAAGTCTTATTGCTCTGGTTTCAGATCTGCAAAAAGTAGTAAGGTACTGGTGGTGAGGAAGATCTGGTTTCAGATTTGGTCCTTGAACTGCGCACATCTACCTACTTTTTGTAAAGATTAAGATTAAGATTATAATAAAAGATCACGGGGACCTGGGAGACAAGCGGGCTTTGAGAGGATATTTCATGACAGTGGTGAACTCCTGTTTCTCGGACAAGTCAACCTCATCAGCCGAGGCCGAGGCCTTGTAGTTCCACTCAAAACTCCAAACCAAATTGGCCACAAAATACTCCAAGTGAAGGATGGCCAGCCCATGACCAGGACATATTCTCCGTCCCGCTCCAAAAGGCATCATCTTTATTTCCTTGCTCCCAGTGATCATCTCAACAACCTCCCCTCCGTTGCCCAGGAACCTCTCCGGCTTGAACGCCATCGGATCCTCCCACACACTTGGGTCCCACCCAATATCCGCGACCATGAAGTTGATGGAGGCCTCCTTGGGCACCGCGTGTCCTCCCAGCACCACCTCCTCCTCCGTCACCGCGTGAGGAAGCACAAAGTGTCCCGGCGGGTGCCGCCTCAGCCCCTCCAGCACAACGGCCTTGAGATAAGCCATCTTTCGCAAATCCTCCTCCTCAACTACAACACGCCCAACTTCTTCTTCTTCTTCTTCCTGCTGTTTACTCCCAACAACTTGCTTGATCTCCGCGTAGAGCTTGTCTTGAATGCGGGGGTGTTTAACTATGTTGGCCATTATCCACTCCAACGCCGTCGACGTCGTGTCCGTCCCCGCGTTCAGGAATTCAGAGCAAAGACTCACCATTTCGCTCATCTCCAACTTTCTGCTCATCTCTTTCTCTCTCTCCTTGACGTCGGCCGGTAGCCGGAGATCCAGCAGGGTGTCCACATAGCACACTATCGATTCCGATTCCGAATCGGAAACGGAATCGGATTCTGCCTTGTTTCTCCGGGCTTCAATGAGCGGGGCCAGGACGTCCTCTTGGTCCTGGCGGAGTTGGAGAAGCTCCTGCCACCGCTTTCTGAGGAGAATCTTGGTGATCTTGGGCCAGAAGTTGAGGATATTGAAGCGCCTGAGGCGCAGAAGAAGACGCCGCTGGACGGTCTCGATGTCCTTGATTTTGGGCTCATCCAGCTTGTCGCCGAAGCACATGAGGACCAGCAAGCAGAACATGGCGTATTGAAAGTGCTCCTTCACGCAAACGCCATTTGTACTACTAGTACTTGTAATATCACTGCTAGTAACGAGGAGGCGGTCAAGGAGGAGTTGTAGGACCCAGCGGCGAGCGTTGGAGAAGGAGCTGATGCGGGAAGGGTGGAGGATGTTGGCGGTGAGGTTGCGGCGGAGGAGGCGCCAGGTGGGGCCGTAGGCGGCAGAGCTGATGCTGTGTTGGTTGCTGGAGAGGAAGCGGTTGGTGGGGGCGGCCGGAGGGCGGTCGGCGAAGACGGCGCCGTTTTGGACCAAAGCCTGGTGGGCGAGGGTGCGGTCGGCGACGAACACGGCGGGGCGGTGGGCGATGCGGATGCTGACGACGGGTCCGTATTTGCGGTGGATGTTGCGGAGGATGGCCTCTATTTCGGTCGAGGATTTGCGGAGCAATGAGATGTTACCGATTATGGGGAAAGTCCGAGGTCCCGGCGGAAGATTAATTTTGTTTCCCTTTGTCTTTGTATTTGATGATGATGCGGCCAACAAAATTGATCGCACCATCAAACCTATGCACAACGAGATCACGATCACAAACCAGCTTTCCATCCCTTTTTTGTTTTTGTTTTTTGTTTTCCTTCCGATGAATGATCGTTGGTGTTCAGTGCAGTTGTGTCATCCAGGAAAGGAATAAAAAAAATATCAAAAGGGAACCAGTGGTGATAAATGGAGAGAAACCGTAAAGACTTTGATATGATAAATGGGGATGAGGAAGAAAATTGGGGATTGTTTTTGTTTTTTTCTCGAAAAGTCTTTTGGTTTTATAGTGTGGTGTTGACCCCTGACGTTAACTTTACATTATTATTATTATTATTAGTATTATTATTATTTTGTTTGACTCTGAGGATGTTTGAGGACGTTTGGTTAGAGGATTTAAATCACGTGATTTGAATTATTTTTTATTTATATAAATTTTTTATGAGAGAAAATACTGTAACGAATTATGAATCATGATTCGAATCAAGAAAATCCTCTACCAAACATAAATGCGCGGAGCAATGAGATGTTACCGATTATGGGGAAAGTCCGAGGTCCCGGCGGAAGATTAATTTTGTTTCCCTTTGTCTTTGTATTTGATGATGATGCGGCCAACAAAATTGATCGCACCATCAAACCTATGCACAACGAGATCACGATCACAAACCAGCTTTCCATCCCTTTTTTGTTTTTGTTTTTTGTTTTCCTTCCGATGAATGATCGTTGGTGTTCAGTGCAGTTGTGTCATCCAGGAAAGGAATAAAAAAAATATCAAAAGGGAACCAGTGGTGATAAATGGAGAGAAACCGTAAAGACTTTGATATGATAAATGGGGATGAGGAAGAAAATTGGGGATTGTTTTTGTTTTTTTCTCGAAAAGTCTTTTGGTTTTATAGTGTGGTGTTGACCCCTGACGTTAACTTTACATTATTATTATTATTATTATTATTATTATTATTATTATTTTGTTTCACTCTGAGGGCGTTTGAGGATGTTTGGTTAGAGGATTTAAATCACGTGATTTAAATTATTTTTTATTTATGTAAATTTTTTGTGAGAGAAAATACTGTAACGAATTATGAATCATGATTTGAATCAAGAAAACGAATCCTCTACCAAACATAAATGCCAAAAGAAAAAAACAAAGAAGGATCACCAAACAAAGTGAAGGAGCAATAATAACAATATTAGATACTTTTGCTTATCAAAAAAAAAAAAAGAGGATACTTTCTGTGAATTCCGAAGAACATAATTGGTTGATTATTGATGTAAAATAGATAAGGTCATGGAGTGACACATTGAGTATATTATATTACTTGGAGCTGGAAATACATTTATTATCGTCGTATAGCTAAATCAGTTGGTTGGTTGTTCCGCAGGAAAAACGTGAAAAAGGTTGAATGCGACAACATGCGTGCGGGTGTGTCTTGACCAAGTCGATCATCCCTTTGTTTGGCACGCACTTGAGATTGAGAGAAAGTCGAGCGAACAATAATAAACCACTTCTATCCAAATTCATCCCATCCGCATATTCCCCACGCCCTGATCAAGAATATACACAATAATAATTAATAATAATAATAATATTAATAATCATTAAAGAATGCAGAACCATGTCTTTGTCTCACAAATCTCTCTCTTGCCTTGTGCAACTAAAACGACAATACAAATTACCTTTTCACGAGAATCATATAAAAACGACGATTCTCACATAATTCCCCGAGGGTAGTCAAACTCGAACTCAGACACAAGTTTTCACACATTTTTACCTTGTTTAAAATCACAACTCAAAACTTTTTTATTACAATGTCTTCTCTTATAAAAATTTAAATTTAACTTTTTTGTTATATCTTACATAAAAAAGTTTTTGAGTTGTGAAAAGAATACACCCTTTATTACTTGACAAAACCAAACCAAATAGTTTCCCTGTTTATCATATGAAATAAAAGCTCTTTAATATCCCTCCCTATGAATAATGAATAAGTAGAGGGATGGTAACAAGAGAAGAAAGCATCAATACACAATAGCCAGAAACTAATATAAGATTATTATAATATTATTTTCCTATCTTGTAAAAGAAAATTAATCCCAGATCACCTATTTATTGACTAATAGCTATTGGAAATGAAAGGCTGTTTTAGTCTGTTAGTGCATTTTTCGTGTTGGCTTATTTTTGGCAAATTGGTTGTAAGATTGGTTGGCATTGTAAATTGATAGTCCTTTTAAAGAAAGTTTGGTTGTCTTGTGTACTGGCTGCAAATAAAAGATCTTGATTGCTGAAAATCAAGAGTAGACTTTCTGGAGCATTATGGCTGGCTCTTCTAAGGAAAGAATTGTGGGAAATAATGGGTATGATTGTCTTCTTACTATCATTGGGGCTGGTGACCTGATTTGTGGTGTGAATGGAGGAGATATTACCATGATTGGATGTGCTTATCGTAGATGATTGATGGGTGTGATTCTGTGATGGTATATACAGTGGCATGAGGGTTTTGATGTGAAAAGAACGTAAGGTGAAGAATATGTGTTGAATACGGAAAAAGCTGTGTGTGTTCATGTGAGTATGATATTGTAATGTTAAGAGTCGCTTGATGTGTTGTGACGGATTGTGAGAACACTTTTGAATTGGTTCTTCGGGAGAAGATTTCTTTGGTTTCGGGAGAAAACCGTCAAGTCGAGTAGTGCTCGCTGATCAAGCTTTCTAAGGAGATTCTAGGCAACGGCGACATCGTCAAAGAGGGAGTCGTTGAGTGTGTAAGACCGTTCGGTCCTTTGTAATCTTTTGAACTTAGTGGATTGATCATTGTCTGGGCGTGGCCCCACAGAGTAGGTGTGCGCACCGAACTGTGATATCATTTTTTTGGTGTCATTTACATTTCTGCATTAGTTTCCTGCTTTACTGTTTTGCTAGTTTAATTTTAGATTTTCTGTCACAAAAAGTGTTACAGTAAAGTGTTCCAACACAACTTATGACACCAGGATAAAAATGGACCTAACAATTGGTATCAGAGCGGT